ATCTCAATATTACGGCTTCTCTGACACCTCTTATAGTGATACTTCATTCTCTTAGATCATATGCATGTTCGATACTTGGGGTAACGTTGATATCGCAGTCGAGTGCATGATTTCGACGATAATTATTATCGGCTCTTTCACGAAATTGTTTAATCTTATTCTTAATATGAAGAAGGTATAAATAAATTCCTTTTACAGATCGTGTTTACGCGTGTGATTGCATTTTATATTGTACGACTTAATCTTTGTATCATAAAAACTTTAGACGCGGCACTTGTTTTCTTTAATTGAATACCACTGGCAGGTGTTTACCAATTCCACGGACATCAAGATCATGCAGGATTACGTTACGTTTGGTAGAAAAATAATAATACTTTATTCAAGTAAGAAACCTTAATTTCCTGGATTTCTTCCGCTTGACCATGATTAAACATAATGAATCGTAGATTTAATCATTTCGCAAACAGCACATATGCTACCATTGTTACCAGCTATATCAATTGAAAAACAATTAAGCAGTAGAGGTGTCGATCGTTGTTCGCAGTTTATATTTACACGTCGATGGTAGTGTTCATAATAATTCCGATGTCGCCGCAGATCATGGACATTGTAATACCTCTCAACGACACTCGTCCGCGAAAGTTGCTAATCGAGGTCGAATATCGTGTAGATCAGGAGAAATACTACTATCCCATCTTATTCCATTCTTACGTGGCGATTGTACTGATCATATCGGTCATAGTATGCGTCGACACTACGTACATATCATACGTGGAGCATGGCTGCAGTTTATTCGCAGCCATTGGGTAAACATAACTTTTTAATATTTTATGGTACTATAGTATAGATTCTCGGATAAGATTTCGGATATTTGTTGGACATTAACATTTGTCCAGGTATCGATTAGAGCATGTTATTTCAAAAGGACACATTGATAAAACAAGTTACTTCGCGAAAAGCAAAGAAAGAACGTATCAAGATGTAGAAGTCGAAGATACTTGCTTCAAAGAGAAGGCGATTTTTTATGAATTTGTCACGTGCTTGCGAAAACATCAGCTTGCAATTCAGTTTGTACTCCCTGAATATTGTTAGTGTACTGATTAAAAATTGGGATATTAAATGATTTGGATATTATCTTAGCTATATTTTA